CCGACAATCCCTTTGTGCACGATCATAACACACCCCTGCTACCGGCTTCACAAAGATCCTTCAGATGCTCACTGCAGGACAGAAAGAGTTGGCCAAGCTACGTTTGAATTTTTGAAGTGGGAACCCGCCACGGCTGCTGCCTGGTTCCCTAGTCTGTATTTTTCCTCTACTTCTACCTATGCATCTATACCCTCATGTACAATTGGCTCCGCTCAATCTAGTGACGTTTCTCACTTCCGCATCCCAATTAAGTTGCAAGGCAGATTCAAGAATACAAACATGGGATATGAATCTGTGAGAAGTATCTCATGCCGTAACTGTGAGGATATACAATAACAGTTGCTTGTATCCATAAGTAAAGCTGTAGGTATTTGGTGAGTAAACAATAAGGCAATATAAAAGAAATGTGATAGCAGGACAATAATAATGATGTCCTGTCAATGAGCTGACAGGCACAAGAGAGTCATGTATAGATGAAATGGCAATGCGAGAACAATAAGGTTGACACATGTAATCTAGACAAAAATAAAAATATAACAAGCACTAGTGTAAGCACTTTAGTAACTAGGTAAGTAAAGATAAAAGAAAAGAATAATAGGAAATAGATGCTTTCATAACAGGTGCTACTCTCTCATGCCTGTCAGTTCATTGACAGGGCATCATCATTATTGTCCTGCCTTCATGTTTCTTTGATATTGCCTTATTTGTTTACTCGCCGAATACCTACAGCTTTACTTATGGATATGAGCAACTCCTATTGTATATCCTCATGGTTATAGTATGAGATATTTCCCATAGCTTCATTTCCTATACACATATAAGATAGAGTATTTTGTAGTTGTATTCCTGAGCTCTATTCTCATCTATACTCCTCAGTAGCTAGACCTGTATTGGGTTGTTTTATCCATCTTCATTATCTTTTTGCCCTCTTGCTCATCATCTATTGTGTGATTGTGTTGATGAAGGGAGAAACCACAGAGGAAAGCACAGGCTCAAGCACAAGCCGAGGTGAGGAGTGGGGCTAGTACCACACATGAAGGCTGAAAGAGATAATGATCAAGACAACAGTGATAGCACAAGGGCCAATCACTAGGGTTGCACAAGGAAAACTAGTTCCAAAGACCAACTAAGTATATTGAATGTAAATGATGATACAAGCACTAACCTAGTTCCAAAGACCAAGAGGTCAAGATGGGGAACTAGGTGTCAACTACTGTACTATATATACAAGTGTCTAGATGAGTAAGTGACAGTGCGGGAATGTGATAGAAGGATGCGGAACAATGTAGATGGATCCAAACAGTAACAAAGATAAAGAAAGGAGGAGATGTAATAAAAATAAAGTCAGTACCATATCCTGTGTAGCATGTCACGACAGTGATGCCTGGTTGTCCCTTGTGAGAGCTAGCAAGCCGCTGACAAAAGGGTTCCATTTGACTGTTGATAATGTCATACATAATGCATATCTTTGCAGGGGTTGTCATTTGTATGTTCCACCCTACCTACCTTATGATTCCAGAACAGTTTCCTCCAAAAAGTTTGCATTTTGCCTTTTGCCCTTCACTCTCTAGGGAATACTCATCAATGTATCCTGAAGGAAAATAACAGCTGAGATAGTAATCAGGTGTGATGTGGTTGTAGATTGGCACAAAGAACAATCTTTGCATGGTGGAGGTTGGTTCTCTTGGGTAATTTTTAGTGAAAACTATGATCTGCATCAATTCTTACTAATCTTCAACCTTTAACCATTTTTCACTGGTCTATCAATCAGTACACACAAACAGACAGGTGAACATATCATTTGATGCAATTCAGCTTTTGCCTTGCTAACTTTTGCACAGGAAATGCCAGCATGCAAGATTTCTTCTTTCAGAACAGCCCCCCCATTAAGACAATTGACTGATTTCTCTTCATGCTTGTAATAGGATATCATTTCCAACCTCCACCTCCCACATATCAATCGTGAAAATCCGTGGAGGACAGCATAATCCTGGGTCCTTCATTACCCATAATTGTACTCAGAGAACCTGCTTGGACATGAGTCAGAATAAAGAGTACATCGCAGATGCGAAATGGATTATGTGTGGTCAAGGAGAATTTTGGTGAAATGAGGATGGATTCGTTGGTAAGAACCCTTTGGCAATATGCGCACTACAGGCAAAGTCGTTCGGCTTTCTAGTTGGCAACCACTATTTTGCGGTTTTTCTTAAATGTTAACATGTGAATGGCCTTTCATTAGCTCCACAGACTATATGAGCTCGGAGCCTCTTATGGAGTGCTTATATGAGACGTTATTGAGATGGATGTGTTGCAGAAATCACTATGTTCCAGCGGCGAAATTTCCTCTTGCACAATTGAACGTATTGATGACAGCATTGCTTCCCTCCTGTACAAGATATCTTGAATAGACCATGACAATTGTTGTGTCACCACAAGTTTACACTGAGTGCCCTATGAGGTTAATCACAATACAAACAAAAGTGGGTATTGTACCACGACTTGGCTCGTACAAATCTTCCATGGCTTGCACTTCATTTTCACCGGCGAATCCAAATCATTTCACCAAAACTCTCCTTGACACACACAATCCGTTTCGCATCTGTGATGTACTCATCATTTCGGCTGATGTTGAGCGCTTCCTGAGTATGGTTATCAGTTATGAAGACAAGAATATGTGGCCCTTCTCTGGATGTGATGAATGATATGACCGGTCCGAAGGAGAGATTACTGAGAGCAGAAGAAAGCAATTAGGATATATATAGTATGTCATGAGCCAAAGACAGACACAAACTGTTCCTTGTTCTTGTACTTTTCATTGTACTTTGCGATCCAGGGTTTCGCCACCTCAGTTTCCCAGAAATCCGACATCTCGCCTCCGCATTCTGGAAAGTATGTGTGAAGCTCCTGCGCAGGGATGTACCATCCGAGGCAGTAACGAGGTGTTACTTTGTGGTCGCAATTGGAGGATCGTTCGACATCGACACCTTGTCTCGAAGGGGGATTTTCGAAAGGAAGAAATTTCGGGTGAGGACATTGCCTGGACACATATCATGAATAGTTAGCATATGAGAGAAGAGCAGCAAGAAAGATCGAATGGCAAGAATAAATTTCGCACTTTACGGTTTCGGGTGTGTTAACCATGACACAGTGGAGGTATGGAAGTGAATTACTGAAGTGATCATGGAGGCACATCGGGCGTCCGTGATCACCCACATGGTTTCCAGATTTACTCCGGATACTTAACCCTGCTACATTGATATGTACTGTGGACAGGGAAAAAAAGACAATGATATGAATTGAACCCGGGTATGAGACGTCCGAAGCGAGAAGGAAGATTTCAGCCTGAATTTCGGTCGCAGGGCATTTGAGGGTTTAAATTGTTCGTCAGGTTAAAGCAATGATTTGGAGGTGTAAGCGCCTTCCACTTCCACAATGTGATTTATCTTATCTTGCTCTGATACGCTGATCCCGGTCTTGTTCCCACGGTGTCTCGTTAATACTGTCCTCCCCCCAGACGCTCCTGTCCCTCATAGATGCTCCTGATGTCCTGTTACCTCAACCCCTCGACACCTCGGACCTTCTTCAAGTATCCGGTCCTTCCCAAGCGCTTCGTTCTCCGAAACCTCCCCTCGTACATCCTTATTCTTCAATGCGTAAAATCAATGTTTTACGAAGCGCTCAACTGACTAGCGGACAATCCCTTCAACCTCCGCAGGTCGATCCTAAACTGGATTCATCTACTTTACGCAAATTTTGACGGCTAATAGGCATACCAAAGGCGCAGGAGTAGCCTCAGGCTTTCCACAGAAGGTACGATTCGCTTGGTGCAACTTCTTAATAACGCCGGATAGTATAAACCCGTTAGACATTACACTCTTTAAGCGAAGATTTCATGATCAAGATGTCGTTTATATCAACCACCGTGACTCTATCCTCGCGTTCAGTTGTCACGCCAAAATTCAAAAAGGTACTGTGTGATACATAACCCTGGATTAACCTCAAGTAGCCCAACACCCTTCTTGATATCCCTGCTTCTGCTAGCGATCGCGAATGACACCGTCCATCTCATCCGAAAATGCCCTCAGACGGATTGCTCATCTGGGAGTTATGCGATCCAGTAGTAAGTTTGATTCTTCTTTTATCCATGGTGTTGATCCAATTCCCCTGCTTTAAAATTACCCTTCCTGTTGTACTCAATTTTACTCCACTTCTGGCCGACGGTCCTGGATACTCTTAATCTTCCGGTGAGAGTACTGAACGTCTATCTCCACTCATCGCTTCGGGCTCGAAGGAATTTCCCAACACTTTTAACGATTGATGCAAATCAAGGACATGGTGTTGGATACTCAGGAAATATCCCGGATGAGGAATATCATTTGAACGAGATTTTCTTGCTAGAGTCTTGTGAGTCGTCTATCTCAGTCTCAGACCAACTGACTGATTGATATTGAATCCTGCAGCATTTCGCTTTAGAATGTGATCAAATCCCCGCAAATACTCAGTTATAGCTTTCTTCTCATCGACGATGGTCGACATGGTCACCAGAATCATGGCATCTAAGCCTTTTCCTCAGGGCTCTCAAATTGGGAGCCAACATGTACCATACCCTTCGTTACCTTATTTCGAAGGAGAATATCTTGGGTCCAGTCTGATACTTCGACATCACTTTTTGTCAACGCAACTAGTCAGAATGTCGTGGCGGACGTCTCGGACGTAGTCTGGATAGCGGAGTGGATCTTTCTCGATGTTACACTCATCTAGAATAAATTCTCGAGGCGGTATGGTTTTGTCACTTGTGAGTGCTACGAGTAACTTGGTAGGCGACACAAATTTTGTGGCTTGCCTCGCTGCCAAATCCTAGTGCAAATTTGATCGAGATATAATATATAACGCTCATTTAACACGAATGCATTTTCAACACGAATGCAAAAGAAATTACCTTTTGCTACGCCGAGTCCGCGCAGAATTATCAAGATTCAAAATGCACATTTCAACTGCTATGATTCAACCCGGGATCGAACCGGAGACCTTCTGTGCTACACGCTTTACTTGATTGTAAGACAGATGCGATAACCACTACGCCATTGAACCAATGTACTTAAGTAATTGTTTTGTGACACCGCTTTATGGCTGCCCTATGCTACGTTAGCTTCAGTGCCAAGGTCTGCAAGCTCGATTTTCACCGTACAACACAGGACTCCGTAGACAGCTTGGACCAGGGAGGGTTCTGAAAGATATCTATCCCTACCTCTCACTATTTTACCAGGCCATTTCTAGATTTATTCACAGCTTCCCTGTACGATAAATCCCTTACTCTAGATTATGCGTTCCTCGACTTATTTCTCTCTGTTCTCTCTGTTCTTCAGGTTCCATTTTGCATATCGCTATGTGCCAGTGTGGACATAGAGCTCCACATTGACCACATTCCGACTGCGTAACCGCTGGTACCGGTCCCAGGGCTACCTGCCAAAGAACCTTGTCGTAGTCACAGGTGAAGTAGAAACAGGTAGAGTTGTAGTTGGCGTTCCAGTAGAGCTGTACGTAAAACCAGTTGCGTAGTTTTGATGCGTGGGTTTTATCATACTCTACATTCAAAACCTTCCTGTTAGGCTGTAGATGATTACTTATCCGTCGGCTCTGCTAGTAGTGCAAACCGACATCGCCCTCTGAATCAGACCATCCTTGGACCTCAACGCCCATCATCACTCTCTTGCTGGCCAAAAGATTGACGCCTCTTCTGCTATCATAATTTCTCATCGAACTTCTCTATCCTCTATACACTTTCCCAATTCACTCTTTCTCGCCACATACATTGCCACGCAGAGACGATAAACAAACCTGTACATTGATCATGCATCTCTGCACGACCTTCTTTTTTCTACTTCTGCTATTCTCCAGCCTTGCTTCTACCATATATGCCGTGCCTCGTCCTGTGAGTGGTTACTAGTATACCTGACCTAAAATGAGTCTATGCTACCATTTTTCCTTCCTGCCATTTCCCACCTCTCTGCCAAGAGCTGACACTGTTTTTCTCACTACGTAGTATCAGATAAATGCTCATGGATCGAAGGTGCTGATCAACAGTCGAGATGTCAAACTTCCTCTTCTTCCTCCCCTTCATCCTCTTCTCCCCTTCCTCCATTGCAGCCCAAAATCGTCAGCCCCAGCTCATGAAGCTCCGACATCGTCTGCAATGACACCAGAAGAGCTCCGTACGCTTGCAAACAGATACGAAAAGCTCTTCCCCGCCGACATAACACAATCTACTCCAAAAGCAGAAACCACACCGGAAGAGAGGACAACAATCCACGGAATATTGAAAACTCTTTTTGAGACGGGAAAGCTAGACAGAACACTTGACACCAAATCAGAGCCACCCTCGTTTAACCAGCTGAGCAAGGTCGAACGATCTAATAGTGATAAAAACCTTTTCAAGCTTCGGTTCTTAGCAGGCCCTCTTCGACAGACTTATTATGCCTTTGTACGGGTTGATAAAAAGATGGGCTTTGTCTTTCGTTATTGGAGTGAGATGATTATAGTTGCCAGCAATGTGTGTCAATGTGACCAGGTAATTACTTAAATCCTCACCTTCTCTCCTAGATCTGATCAAACTCTTAGTTGTAGTGCTTAGGGACTGTAGATGTAGTTCGCAGGCACAGATGCCAGCCGGTCAGAAGTGCCGCTGGTTCGAGAAGATACCGTGTTTGTTGTACACACGTTTACTACAAGATGCACTTGATATACTATCACTAACAAGATCAAACATATATGCATGCTTCCAAGGTCCAGCCTGAACTTGGAAGATTGATGAGGTGAAAGGAGTCTTCGTATGTAGCATTGATAAAAAAAACTTAGGGGTTACTGCGATATTGACTGGACTGCCGAGGGTCGCTGCAAAATGTCATATGCATGAACTGGGACTTAGACGGAAGCGTAACCTCCCGAGGTTCGACAGGGTGAGGCAGCTGCAGAGGCGGAAGCTGGTTTGTTGGAAGGTGACGGGAGATATCATATCCTACAGCTGCGTTTCTTCTAGAACGAAATAGATTCGGGGGTTGTGTCGGTGATCGTAAAGAACCAAGTACCTCTTGTCGCGAACGTCAGGACTACCTTGAGTGTTCGTGTTCATTGTGTACTCGGAAATGTCAAATAAGTCGAATTATGCTCTGGAGAAAAGGAAATTATGTCAACTGGGGAATAAGGGGCTGTACCTATAGAACGAACCTTTAGACATTGGGATCAAGTTGCCGCAGAGTACCTACCTTTATACATCATGGCACTCGACAATAAGTTGAATCTCAGGCCCCTCTACAATGATTGGGCCAGTGGTTTGAAGGGAATCTGTGAAGGAAGTTAGTCCACTGTGGCCCGTTGACGCACACCAATGTGAGAGTACGAAGCGGTGGAGCGTTTACCAATTTGCGAAATGGACCCTCATAATATAGGTAGCAACACGCTAACATTTTCGGTAGTCGGGGCTGTGGATAATGTCCTGTCAAAATCAGGCATGAGTGACCGGGGGGATTTCAGGATTTCTCAAATACTCAAAGCGAGTACACTTATTGCGATGGCTATTCATGGATATCATGTCATGAACGATAGATAGTCTTTATAAAGTGCTTGTCATATATCAAAGCACTGCCAAAGTCGAAGAATATTGGTAATAGTACAATATGCAAAACTAATCTAATACAACCTCTAAAAGTAGAGTCCGTGTCTCTTTGATATCATAGTGTGAGTCGTATCGTCAACCTTCAGACAACCCATGGACCATCCACACTCCGCCAAGGTCGACAAGGTCGGTGACCATGTCAGAATCGTCCTCTTTTACATCAATCAATAGCTCTCTCTTTTCCTTTTCCTTTCTTGATGCCTTTCAAAGTTCTGAAAAACTCAAAGTTCAGCGAGGAAGGGACAGTACTCATGTTCTCCCGATCATCGGGACGAAGAGCACCAGTCGTATGACGGCGTCGTAACAGCCGTCTTCCTGCGACTGGAGAGTGGAAAGTAGAATTGAATGAAGCCGAAGACGTCAGAGGTACCGTGGTAGTACGCGTACGTTGATGAATTCTGCGAGGAGGGGCTTCAAGCGCAGTATCATCTTCGGTACGTGCTTTCTTGGCTGGAGGAGGCTGGGGCATCGAATCAAACACATTGGTTGCAGGAAGCGAATTGTCCAAAAATGAGGCAGGAGAATGAGAAAGATTGTTGAAGTTGCCCACGAGGAGCTGAGAACCAGAGGCCTGTCCGGAATCAACAGTACGACTGGGACTGGGACTTCGTTTCCTCTTCGAAGTGGTAGCAATCATAGTCTCCGTCAACGTCTGGGGGTCTAAGGAAGTATCCAAAGATGGATCTGTGGAAGAAGCAGATGGTGATACAACAGCAGTAACATTCGTTGCAGGAGCTTCTTCAGCAGCAATCTCAGCATTAGTATTAGCTTCGACCTCCTCGAACTCTCCAAATAGACCTATCATCGAACTTGACGTCGACAAAATTCTTGCAGTCAAGGGAACAGTGTTGTCGGAAGAAGTCGGAGAGTCGGAAGAATCGCAACAATTTCCATCTATTGAAAAGCTTGACGAAGAAGAAAGATCTGGGCGACAAGTGCCGCTTCCTGAAGCGACAGGACCATCCTCATCGTCCTCAAGAGCTGGAATTCCTTTTGTAATCGAGCGCCTGAATAACTGATTTATGCCATGCGGGTTTCGAGAAACGGGTTCGAGCCGAGCGGCATCGTTTTCACGCCAAAGAGCAGAGTGTGAGGGTCCAATAGCCTGGGCTTGTATAGTAGGAGGATTGGGAGGAGGAGGAAGAAGAGGAAGAGCTCCAGATGGGGTCCCTGGCACATTAAGCAGATTTGTAGCTGCCGCCAAGGACAAAAGGGAAGAAGCAGACGAATCGGAGGACGATTGGGAAGATGTTGAAATGTACGAGGAAATTGAAGATTGTGAGGAGGTGAAAACCTCACCGTCTTCTGTATCGGTATCGGCGGGTTCAGCTGACATCCTTTGCCCCTCATCTCCCTTGTCGTCTTCATCGACCTCGTTCACACCCAACATAAGCAACACCTCGTCCATGGTGTCCCGAATCAGCTGAGACGGGACTGACATCAGACTTGACTGGATTCCATAGTCATTATGAGTAGACTCCGTGTGATCATCGAAAATCTCGGTATCGGTATGCTCGAGACCATGGCCAAAGGTGAAATCATCCCCATTGGAGGCATCGATGTCTGGTTCGGTGTCGGTGTCTCCGTCGCTGCCTTCACCATCACCGATACTGTTACCATCTTCGATATTGTGGACCAGGGTGGTACTGTGGTGGACGGCTGTGGAGCGAGAAGTCCCAGTGGAATCCGAGGAGAGTGGGGAAGTAGAAGATGACATTGAGCCGGGCTCCGAGTTGAGCTCTACCTTCGCAGTGTCAGATTCGTCCTTGACTTTCATGTCGTGGGTAGCAGAGGCAGAAGAAGAAGATAGAGAACCTTCCATTGGCGCAATTCTGTACAGAGTCAGTTATCGGAGTACATTGAATATTGGATAAGAAGAGTAAACATTTGCGATGATAAATAACAAAGACAAAGGACGGAAACAAACATACCTGGAAGAGCTTCGATTAACGCTAAGACTATTCAGGGCGGCCTGATCGTCTTCGTCTTCAACATTCATTTCCTCACTGCAGTGGTTAGGTTGAATTTCCTCGGGAGCAGATTCAGAGATGAAAACCGGGCGGAGGACTGAGGTTGTGGGCCTATAGTCATTCACGAATTTTTAACGAGGGGTGGTCAATAAAAGACTATGCAAGGCCGACCTTGCCCCATCAGGGAAAGTGCTCGAATCGTCCTGCTCGACCCTTGTATGCTTTGGATATGATATGGCCATCGTTCAATCGTACTCGGGAGGTCAAAGATCCTATATGATGGATGATGGCTTGATGCAGTTGAGATTGAGTGAGAGAGGGATAGTGGAAATTCGTCGCCAGCGACGAGGAAAGCGAGTGACAAGATTGTAAGATAAAAACGAGCCGGTAAAGTGAAAGACTTGGAGAAAATTTGAACAGTACAAACCAGAGCGCATCCGTCTTTCATC